ACCTCGCTGAACCAAAGCGGGAGGTTTTAGTTGTGGTTAAAGTGTGCTGCATCCCACTAAGCATTTCAGAACAGTATGTTCCTGCTCTGAACCGAGTATTTTGTCCCTTGTATGTCTCACAGGAGACATATTACCGATCTTGGGCCCTGGCTGGCTGGCCATATAGCAGGACGGAGCTCTGGCTCTGAAGCCTGCCTGGCAGGATCCCTGGTAAGTATAAGTGTGTGTCACAACCACCAGGATGGCTAGAGAGGTAGGCCCTCTGTGAGTAAAGCGGTGAAGTGGTTTCTGTGTCCCTAGAAAAGACCTTCGCTTTTAACAGTTACTGCTGTGTGATGCATAGAGGGAGACAGGACACGAGCTCAATCCGTGAGTGTCTGCAGCCTGGATGTGGCTTTCAAGCCAGTGTGGCCCTGGTAGGTGTGTGGCAGCTCTGCCTGCTTGCCGTGCTGGGGTTGGGGGTGTGGGTGAGAGCACACCTGTTCTTCTGATGTTCAGAGGCATTACATCATGCCTCTTGTAGCCTTTCTCCAGCCGTCCTGACCACTGAGCTACCAGACCCAAGCTGTTGAGATGCACATGATCCCTTGGTGGCAAAGGAAAAGTGAATCTGGGCTCTGGGCAGCAGTCATCTGGCCGTAAGGCAGCGACGGGTGTTGAACCAGTCAGGAAATTTCAGCAGCCTCACTGTCTGAAGGTGGAGAGGGGCGAAGGCCTCACAGCTGCTATAGTAAACATTGTTTAGATGGCTGGATTAGGATCCCATGAAGGCGGTACAACCCTCAGCCTCCTGGATGGCTCACCCTGAGGGGCAGGGATGGGGACCAGTGTGCCATCCAGGTGAATGTTGCATTGCATTCATTCTTAGGAGCCAGAACCTACAGCAGAGACTTCCTACCAGGGTCCTTCCTGGTTGCATAGTCCAAAATGCACTGCCTACATGGAAACCTGGTGAAGTTTAAGACATCTGGAGCCTTCAGTGTGGTCATTTAGTGTGAAAACTTCCAACTAGTCAAATCCTCCCTCTATCTCAGAGTTCTGAGGGTGGGCCTATTCTGGGATGTTTCTGTCTCTAAGAACTTGGGATAGGATAAAGGGTTTGTTTATTTATTTACCCTTTTTTTATGTGTGTATGTGCACGAGTTTATGTGCATTGTGTGTGTGCAGGTGCCCTCTGGGAAGAGGGCATTGGAGCCCTTAAACTGGACTTAACAGGCAGTTATGAGCTATCTAATGAGGGTACAGAGAACCCAGGTACACAAGAGCACTAAGTGCTCATAACCACTGAGCCATCTTTCCAGTCCAACCCCACCATTTTTACCCCTGTTACCTTGCCTGCCAGGAAACATGAATTGAAGTATGGTTATGTTGCCACAGACCCCATCCCTAGGTCTTGGAGCTCGGTCAAAGGGGTCATCTCCTCCTTGGTGTGATTTTAAGTCTCTCTCGACCTTTATATTTGTTGTGATGTGCTTACCTTTGGTGCCCTCCTCAGGTCAGCTGTCTGCATGGTGTTGTGTGAAGGGCGGGCGCTGTGTTGGAGATTGGCATTTGTAGTCTGAGCACAGTTGCTGGAATCACCCTGGGGGATCTGTCTTCCCACTCCACAAGGCCAGCGTGAAACCTCCTTTGAGCCGAAAGGGAGGCGACCTTGAGTGACGAAAGGCCTCCCTTGGAGGCAGAGCCGTGTTGACTCCAGAGTCCCCTCCAGAGTCTGTCTGCAGCACGCCAGCATCCACACCATTGCCTTCCGCTGTGGGAGCCTGAGTGTTTGGTCCTAGGTAACACATGCCTTGTAGGAAAGTGTGGGACGCAGGGTACCTGTCCTGGTCCTGCTACCTCCAGCCAGTTACAACGTGGGGAGAGTCACACTGGCCCTGTGGTTTTCTGTTGTTGTTTTGTTCCCGTGATTACTTATTTCATTTAGCGGTGGAAGTGGGTGATTCAACTTTCCCCCAAGCCTAGACTCAGTCCAAAGAGCACTAAAATGTCTTCTCAGGGCCCTGCCTGTCCCTGATGTCTTTTAAAGAACAGTGTAATCAGTATAATAAGTCTCCCAAGTTCCTTTGTGGTTTAATCTGAAACAGTTGCTAATTCTCGTCTAACAAGTGTTTTCGCCTAGAGGAGGAAGGACGGAGAATGATTTCAACAGGATGAAAAACCAGACCTTCAGTGGCAGGGCCACAGGCAGAGTGCGGTGGACAGCAGAAGTTCGTTTCTTCACAGTTCTGGGGAGCGCATCAGTCTTAGCTGTGGTGGTGTCTTCACACACCCCTCTTGGACTTGTTTGTGCTGCCCCTCTCGATCTTTACAGTCAAACCCTGCCGCACCCCAGCCAGTGAGTTCATCTTAACCACCTTGCTGAAGGTCCTGCCTGCATAGACAGCTGTATCTGAGAATTTGGGGGACGCTGTGGCCTGTACAGAGGGGGTGCCAGAAGGGAGGCAAGGCTTTTCTCCTTAGTGTACTGTATTGTATTCTCCGCTTTGAGTGGTTTTAATCAGGAAAAGTGGTCTGTTTTGTACCAGGAGGCATGCAGGTGTGGTACTGAACTGTTCCCCGTACACAGACGACTCTGGGAGTGCCTGAGTGTGAGTGACTGATGCAGACCCGCTGGACGCAAGCCAAAGGGTGCCTCTGCCAAGAGCTGCAGGCCCAGGAAGGAAGATCTGATGCCCTTACTCCTCCGTGTTTTCTGTTACTGTCTTTGGAGTTCTGCATAAGTCGTGAGCGGCCTCGCAGCATGGAGGTGGCTTCTCCCCTGGACACTGACATTTGGCTGGCCACTCCATCCTCGCTGCAGATGGTGGTCATTTTCAGGCCTGATTTTTCACCCTGGACATACTGTTCTGGCCAGAGCGCCCAGGGGCCTGTGCTTCCTCTGACCTCTCACCAGGCTCTCCCTTGTATGTGTGTGTGAGTGTGGTGAGGCAGCTGTGGTTACAGGGAGCTTTGTAATGATCCTTTCAACTCTCCTGAAAGCTGAAGCTTGGGCTCAGCCTTGGGTCCCCCTGTATGTGGGCCCCCACTCACCCTGGAGCATGGAGCTCTGGCTTCCTGGCTGCAGTCTGCTTCAGCCCTCTGCACGTTAGCACCGCCAGGCTCAGACTGCCTACCCCACACCTGCCCATCCTCCAGCTGTTTGCTCTCGTGTGGGCCACATGCGCTGGGCCAGAGGAGCAGCTCCAGCCGCCGTGCCAGCTGTCAAGGGATTTCTGGACTGGCACCGTGCTCTGAATCAGTACTAATGGCTTCCTCCGTTGAATGTTGTCCAAAAGCAATTGTTCACTTGTTAGAGGCGCGTGCCATGCTGTCACACCAGGGCCCGAGAGAGCGGGCACCTCCTCCCTCTCCCAACCCCCCCCCTTACCAAAGACTTTGCCAGAATTTCCTGCATTCCCATGTCAGTGCCTCCTGGCACGGGTTTTATGTGTCCTTTGTGCACGTCTTCTCACTAACGTTGACCGTAGCCGCCATTGTCCACCTGTCATCAGATGGTCAGCCAGTCGTGGTCTCCCCAGATGTGGCCAGGACTAGAATCTGAGGCTTACCAAGTGTCAGCTGTTGAGGCCCATCTCTTGGGTGACCCATTCTTGGCGTGTTGACTGGAAACTCCCAGTCGGGCCCCATTGTCTGGTTACACAGCGGTGACATAGGTCCGTCCAAGCCTTCTCACCTTGGATTGATGGCTTACTCAGTCGGAGTGCATGCTTTCTTTGTTTCAGTGAGTTGCGGTTCTATTTTGAATAAGCCTTTTCTCAGCCTGTTAACATTCGTCTTCACCAAAACGAGTCTTCCCCGGAGTTATTCTCACACAGAAGGGGCAAAGTAATTTTGAAAGTTGAATCAAAACAAAGCAATCTTGTGTGTAGAGCTGATAAAATCGCAGCCTGTGGTCTCGGGAGCACCTCCACAGGAATCGCTGACATAAAGCTGATTTCCTCCCATCTTGTTATGGAAAGAGAAGGGGAAATGCCCTGGCCTCTTGAGCTTGAGAGCTGTGTAAACAATGGGGAGAGGGGAGCTCCCCGCACAGCTGGTGTCTGCGGGGTCCTCTGGAGTCTGAGAGGGGACAGACAGTCCCAGTGTGATTCATGGTCATTCCCAGACAGTCCTTAGCCGTGTTTCCCACCAGACTGAAGGGAGGTTTGTGGGGGGCTGGGATGGCCACGAAGCCAGGTCCTGTTTGTGGGTTAGTCATTGAGGAAACAGCTAGGGCCGACTTAAGCCTTGAATTTGAAGCAGGTTGTGGCCTGTGGCGTTGAGGCAAATGTATTCCCTTGCCTTTCACTCCCCGGTGAGATGAGTTAAAGCCCAGATGTGGTGCTCTGGAAAGGTTCGAGGGCCTCTGAAATCTTCATTTAGTCCGAGGTTTTCTTCAGAACAGTCTTCAGGTTGTAACAAACCTACATATGTCACAAGCTCTTAATTGCCCTTTTCTTCCCAGGCCTGATGTGGGAGGGTGGGGTTGACTCAGCCCCTCGTCTGAGACAGTGGGCAGCCCCCCCTTCACTGTTTGTCCTTCGGTCTAGCCAGAGGTATATATCACTTCCACTTTATTTAACTTCTCAGGGCAAGTAACCCCCCCCCCCATCACTGCTTTCTGCTTTCTCCAGTCAGTCACAGCTACCGAGTCCTGGTGGTAAAGGTTCAAGTTCAGTCTTTATTTTCCTCTGCCCCCTCCCACACCCACAGCCACTTCTCCCGAGACACCAACGCCAAGGACCTGGCATGGCTCTTGTCTAGCACCCATGTGAAGCTTTACAGTTCGGAGATACCTTCAGAGCAGTTTGATGGTCTTTTTTTACCGCCCCCCCCCCTCACTTTTATTTTCACAGTGATGGAGAATTTATTCGCTATCCTTGTACTCTGTGACATTGCATCCTGCCCCTGGGCAGGGCAGATGGAATGAGCTCCCCTGCCTTTCGTACTCACCCTGAGTGTGCTTCTCCGGATCACTAGGGTGTAAGTAACTGAGAACTGTGCTTGTATCATTGCAGGTAAACAATTACCGAGAGGCCGAAGACCACCCTCAGATGGTTATCTTACAACTGCTACGCTTCATTGTGCGTCTAGTATGGAGAAGGCATTGACAGGGTCTTCACGCAGCCGGGATAAATGGTGGACATTGCTCTTGTTCAGACCGGTGGTACCGCAGCCCCGGACCTCCTGGTGCCATGACGATGCAGCCAGTGGTTCTAACTCAGCGGCGCGATGAGGGCCGACCGCACACATGTGAACTCAAGCTTCCTGTTCATCACCACATGGCAGAATTGCCGGTAGACAATTGTTGTGAATGTAAGAGAGGGCGCTTCTCTTTTTAATGTACAGATGCTGGGTCTTTGGAGAAAAGCTTATGCAAGAAAGGTGTTTACATGTGGTGTGTTTAATATTTTTTTTTTAAATCCACTTTCTTTGGTAACTTTTATTTTGCTTGAGAAAGAAAAACTTTTTAGTCAACTTATGGATGATTTTCATACTAAAATTCTTAAGAAGCTGTGGGCCACCCGGAAGATGACATAAGCCCGCAGTGGGAACTGAGCTGGCCGATGTATAAGGCTGCCTGAGTTGCTTTTGAAAGATTACTGTACAGAATTTTTAAACAGAGAGTGGTGTTACCCTCTCTCCTCTGCCACAGCTTCTTTGGTTTCCTTTTTTTATTATTACTACCAAAACAGTTCTTATGTAATGGAATGGATTAAAGTGGCAGAGGGTCTGTTTTGGTATGCCACTTCCGTTTTGTAAATATTGACCTTTTCGCTCAGTTGCTTCCATGGCAAAATTGCTCGCTTTTCGTGTTTTTTCCTCAACTCCTCAGTCTGTCTGTACACTGTTGGCCCAGGGTGTTTTCATGATGAAATGTGTGTAGGTCAGTAAGGGCTAAGGACCTGGGTTGTCCCCAGCTCCATCTCTCAAGCTGACTCATGGGAAGGGCTCTTGTCACTTCATCGTGGTGGGTTTGTTTATCTCTTTTATCCTGAGGGAACACAGACTCACATGCCACTTACTGACGCTGCCAGCTCTTCTGGCTGCAGGCTCTGCCGAAGTCGTAGGCTCTGTGGGCTCCAGCGCACACAGTGAAGCGGAGGCGGAGCCCACACTTTCTTAGGGGTTGGCCGGGTCATTTCAGGAGCAAGGGGCTCAGGTGATCATTTCCCGTGCTTCTTGGTATTTAGCCCTGCTCATCCCGTCTGGCCTGTGATGGAACTTCGTCACCGTTCCCTTGAACTCACCTTGCATTAGGGGGCTGGCTTTACTTCATCAGTTTCCATACATAGGAAACCTCTGACACACCAAGGGAAGCACGCATCTTCCGAAGAACGGGTGCCTGCTTTGCTCTCTCCGTTTTAACAGTCAGATCTTTGTTGGGCCATCTGTGTCTGGGGTGGGGGGTGCTCTTTCTTGGTACCTGCCCCTTAGGACCACATGCACCAGAAGCCCACGCACTGGTCAGTCATTTCAGGAGCAGGCAGGACCCGAGGTGTGGGTATAGCCTGGTGGAGGAGCACTTCCCTAAGGGGTGCAGAGGCCCTGGGCCCCATCCCCAGCGCCTCCTAAAACAAACCACATGCTTGCAGCCAGGGAAGATGCAAAAAGAGGACAAAGAGGAAAGAACCTGGGAGGGCTGGGAGGAGCGGCGAGCCCTCTGACTTGAGCAATCGTCAGACATCAGGCAGCTTGCTTAAAGAACTGTGTGAGTTTCCAAGCGAGTGGGCAGTGCCAACAACTGTGTTTGTTTGGATTTGCCCTGCGGAGGGCCAGTGTTTTTATGTATAGAAAAAAATCCATTCATTTCTATTTTCCTAAGTGTGTGTGTGTGTGTGTGTGTGTGTTTGTATATGTATGTGTATATATATATATTGTCTATATGCTTTTCCTTCTAGATTGAGATCATTTTGAATACAAATAATCTTTCTTTTGAAACCACACTTTCCCAGCTTCCTTAGATTTGTAATAGTTTGAAAGCTGTGTTGGCATTCACCTCCTGTCCTGATGTGTTGAGCCTGCTCATGGCTTCCCATGCGGCTCCTGGTTGTAAGGCGGTGTTAAAAGTGCAACCATGGTTCTGCTACGTGTACACACACACAGACACACACACACACACACACACACACACACACACACACACACACACCAAAGACAGAGTTGGTTCTGGGCCACCCCCGTCCTAGGACCTCCATTCCCATGTGCCAGTCTCTGCGACTGGAGCACTTTACTGTCTCAGCCCTGTGGCTCTGGTACTGCCTGGGCAGGTACAGAGGCTCCCAGAGCCGGGTGCCAGTGGCATGTGTGGCCCCTCAACCATGCTTTTACCTCTCTGGCCCATTGGCCTCCAGCCTGGGGGGGGGGCGAGGCTGGCCACTAAGGCAATTCACTGGGAAATAAGAGATTCTGTGAATTGTAGAAGTATTCAAGAACAGGATGCAGCACCCGGAACGTCATCGTGATCGGATGTCCTGTACTGTATCTGTTTTCTTAAAATCTCAACGGCTTCTGCGCAAAGTGCGTCTGCCTCCTGTGGGTAGACTGTCGTACTTATTTGTTATTTTGTCATTATCTCTCTCTCTCTCTTTGGTAGAACAGAAACTAGATCCCCTTCCCCATTCTGTGTTTGTCTGTCTGTGCGTGTGTGTGTGTGTGTGTCTGTGTGAAAACATCATGCGGGTTTTGTGCCTTGACAGCCTCCCCATGTGAGGTTTGTAAAAAGTGTCCTGTGACTTCACCCCAACGTGGAATAAACACAAAATGACTTCCTGAGTGATTCTTCATATTTTCTTCCCAGAAACAAGTTGATGAATTCGGGGGGGAAGGGGTGCTGAAAAATCAGTTTCAAGTCTTTAAAATATGTAATGGGTAACTACGCTTCTGTTTCCTCTTAGTGTTGTATATATTTTGACTATTTATTAGGTTAGGAAGTCCATGTTTTTATTCATCAACTGAGCCAAATGTCTGTGTGCAATTATGTTTCCCTTACCTTTCTTTGTAAAATTTTGTACAGCATAAAGGAGTAAAAAACAAAAATCACTGTTTTTCTAAACTTCTCAGAATTAAGGGTTGTAAATACCGTAGGTTCTTTTTCTGTGTAATGTGCCCTACTGTTTCATAATGCTGTAACTTGTAGAGATGTATATTTATTTTCTGCTTATTTAATGTCTTAAGTTCTTAAAAGTGTTGACATCCCTGTCCCCCAATCCCCTGCCACCCCATGAATCGCTTCAGCTCCTGAGGTGGGGGCAATGACTGGGTTTGTTCCCGAAGGTGGTCTCTGCTCTGGCTCCTGGCATTCAGTTCTTGGGTTCTGCTGCCTTTCTGATGAGTATTTCACTGCCAGTGAGATGCCCTAGATGTGGTAGGCTGGAAGACTGGACTCTTAAAAAAAAAAAAAAAAAAAAACATCAAATCCATTTGTAAAGCAGCTGGCTTCTGAGGAAAACAGATTTACCAATAAGTTGACCATATCTTTAAAGAAGTATTAGCAGCAGATGGGGAAGATTTTTTTTTTTTTTAATTGAAAGAGTATCTTTGACAACTCAGTGTTGAGAGAAATAAAATTCTGCCACTTCTTGAGGTGCTGTTGTGTGGCTGTCCTGGGTCAGAGAGGGGCAGGAAGGGCCTGTTTCTAGAGCATTTGCCAAGGACACCTGTCTCAACAGGGCACTGCTGCATGGTTCCTATGTTTTGAGGTCTGTGGACTAACCTAGGCCAGTCAGCTCCTGCAGGTCCGTGACCTTGCACCAACTCTCCCATTTTTCTTGAGAGGTTGGAGTCCCCACCAGCCTGGGTGTCAAGATGGAAGAGCTCCCTGAAACTCTAGGGGCGCGTGACTTCATGCTGATGGCTCTGTCCCCCCTGCTGAGTTAGCCCGGTGCCTGTGTGGGGCTACCCCGTACAGCTATGTTCAGGTCGCTTCCACACATGTTCCTAAGTCAGCGGGGAATCCTTCCTAAACAGCCTTGCACAAAGCACCCTCAAGTTTCCAGCAAAGTACTTGACCTCTTTTATTTGGGAATTCCAAACTCTAATCTAATAGTTCAAATAGGTTTTCCTGTCTAGATTCTGTGACCAGCGGTCGCTGTATCCAGACGTGTCAGGTACCCTTTGATAAACAGCACTGACCTCTGTATAGTGCCCCATCACTAACGAACCCAGCGTATGTAGCATTTGTTCTTGCAGTTTCCCTGGCTTCCTTTATGTTTTGCACTGATGAATTTTGACAGGGTAATTGCCACTCTACTTGTGCAATACTGCTGTAAATAACTGCAGATTTTTTAAAGAAACTCAATCTTTTATGTTCTTAATGAATTTTATATGAATAAAACTTGCGACTAGCTTTCGTGAACTGTTTGTCTTCTTAAAAACGGCCAACAACTGAGGGTGCGTGCAGATGGACACACCTGCCTTGTGTCAGTCAGAGCACATGTGCTGAGTGTGGGTCTTCTGACGTCTTGCTTGGAAATAAACCTGTGTGGTACAGTTAAAAGCAAACCATCCTGTACAGTCTTGAAGTGGATAACAAACCATCCTGCCCACAGAGTCAGCCATGACTCAGTATCTGGTTGGAAAGGAGCTGGGAGGAAGTGGTAGGTCGGGAGTGGGCTCCTCTGGTCCCCTCACAGAAGGACTGCTAATCTCTGTGGTGTTGAAGTGTCTACTGGATACAGACTAAATTAAGAGGGAGCAAGAGACACTGTTGGGGGAATACAAGTGAGGACCACTCGGATGAGTACAGGATTTGCCGTTTGGTTCTGAAATTGGTGCTGGGAAAGTCCTGAACGCTTTTAAACCAGGGACCTATTCATGCTGTTAATTAAGCACCTAAATGGGCTTTGTAAAATTCATCAACCTGTCGAAAAGGAATTGTTTGAGCTACCACCCTGCACTGTGGGTGTGAACATTTGTACCCACCTTGGCGTTTTGCATAAATGTTGTTCACTATGTCTGTTACCTAGCAACAGGTCATAGATCTTTCTAGAATTGTTCCCTTTCATCGGATACTGGGGCCCTGCCTCACCAGCAGCCGCCATCCTGATTGAAATTAGACCAATCTGTTCACAGCTCCAATGACACCAGGCCCTGTTGGCGTTGTCATTTAGTCTGAAGGGAGTGGTCTTATTTTTAGCCATTTGTTTCATCTTTCCTGATGATGATCAACTTGTCACGCATAATAAACCTTCAGTCTGTTGTTTCTCTTCTCCCTGCATTTTATTGTGAAAAATTGCAAACACGTGAGAAGGTCCACAGGATTTGAGAGCATCCACATAACTTGGTAGCTCTGACTTTGAAACATTGGACAGTTTTCTGTGGTGGTATGCAAGCATCTACTGACATTATTTCTTTTTCCTTTTTGCATATTTCAAAGTTAGTCATAACCATCAGTAAACTTCTTTCTAAATATTCAACATACAGGCCATTCTGTTTTGGTTTGGTTTTTGGTTTTTCAAAATAAGGTTTCTCTGTGTAGCCTTGACCATCCTAGACTCGCTGGCCAGGCTGGCCTCGAACTCACAGAGATCCACCTGCCTCTGCCTCCCAAGTGCTGGGATTACAGGTGTGTGCCACCTAGCTCAGCACAATTCTTTTTTTTTTTTTAAATATTCAAGAGAAAATTTACATACAGTATAACACAGATTTGGGGCTAAGGCACAGCAGTTACGAGCACTTGCTGTTCTTGCAGAGGACCCAAGTTAGTTTCCCAGCATCCATGATTAGTGGTTCACCACCATCTCTAACTCCATTTACAAGAGAGCCAGTGCTCTTTTCTGCCTTCAGTCCCCTCCTCCCCACACACACATACATACTCCCACACATACATGCATAAACATGAATAAAAATTAATATTAAGAAAAACCACACATGTATGTATGAAGCATGCATTTGTTAAGGTTCGGCTGAGGAAATGACTCATCCATAGACCTATCAAAATAACTACCACTGCTGCAGAAAGTTCCTTCTCAGGCAGGGCTGTCATCCCTTCCGCCGCCCCTGTTGGTGTCATCCCCTGCCGCCCTCTGTTGCTTTTTCCCACAACAAGTCACCCCTGCCTGTTTTCTAACTTATGCGTGGAATAATTTGTGTCTGGTTCTTTTTGGTCAAGGCAAGTTCTGGAGTTGTGTTACAAGGACTAGTGATTGGTAGTTCGCCCATTGTCTAATGGACACCTGAGCTTTGACCTTTGGAAGTGACAGTGAGCAGTATACAAAGCACCAAGTTTAACCAACTTGCATTAATTTCTGTGTTCTGTCTTTCTTGTGACAACCTCTTTATGTCAAAGTTTTAAATCTGTTTATTCACATAACCCTCCTGGAATTGCTTTTAGTGTCACTTGAAGTGGTTCAGGATGTCGTATCCCTGTCAGATGCCATTCTGTCTCTCAACTCCTCTCTCCCTCCAGTCTTTCCGTTCGTGTTCGTTATTAGTTCTATGTTCTCAGTGCTCTCCTTCCTCCACACACACTTTCTGTTTCCTGTGCTGCTTCAGAAGCTCATCGGGGCTGTCACTCGGGATTATGATTCCTCTACATTAAGTTAGCAACAAGTTGCCATTTCTCCTGTGTGTCTTTCAAGGTGTGTGGCTTTCCTCTGAGATTCATCGGACGTGGTTTCCTACCCAGTTCCTAAACCTGGAGTCACGTGGCTGAATGTGAGGGTCGTGAGCAATCTGACATCAGTAAACGGTTTCTGGATGCTCAGTGATCGGAAGTGAATTCGAAATGAAACGCATGGTGACTCGAGGATGTCCTGGCGCTGTGCAGCCACGTTGAGTCTTGCGATTTCCCTGCAGCCTTGATTGCCGTGCTGTGCTGTGTAGTCCCACGTGACCAAGTGCTACCTCAGCTCGTATCCAACATGTTCTGGATGCAGTTCTTACTGCACTTGGTCATTTTGCCTGTAACGGCTTTATCATATAAAATAAAGCAGCATTTTCTTACCTCCTTTCTTCAACATGTCAGTATAGTTAGTGTATCTTGGAAGGTATTATGTTAAAACGTTTGGTTGGGCACCTCCTAAGCAGTCAGCCGTGTCAGGATGGAGCTGAGTATCTCCTTCCCAGCCATCAACTTCAGAAGCTCATTGAAAAGGTCGATGAACACAGACCTTGTACTCTCTATGAGAAGCACATAGCCACGGAATGATTTGCGTGAAAAGTGGAAGTGTTCTGTGGTCATCATCAACAGTGGGAACAACAAACAAGTTTTTCCCATGAAGTGAGGTATCTTGAACCACAGTCAAATGTGCCTGCTCCTGCTGTTGGGTAAGGGGCCTTCTTGTTATAGAGCAAGGACTGAAGAAAGGAAGCACAAGCCTGATGTAGGACACACTGTGGATGCCAATCAGAGCACTCTCAACTTGGTTATTGGTTTGTTTGTTTGTTTGTCTTTTAAAAAAAAGGAAGAAGAATATTCCTGGAGTGACAGATGCTACCTCGCCTCACTGTTTGGGGCCCAAAAGAGCTTGCAGAATCTGAAAGTTTTTTAGTCTCTCTAAAGAGGATGATGTCTGCCAATAAGTTGTCAGAAAGTCTTGAACATACCAAAGTCAGGATCAGAGCACCCAAGCTTCACTGTGTTGTTACTTCATGTGTCCTGCTACACAAGCACTGACGTGAAAAAACAATGCACTAAGAAACACTGAGGAGGAGGCTCCAGAATACACTAAAATGGTAAGAAGTCAATAACCAGACATTGAAAAAGCAGAGAGGGAGAGGGGAAGAGAGAAAGGAAAGGAGGAAGAGGGGGAGAGAGGAAGAGAAAGAGGGAAAGAAAAGGAGGGAAGGAGGAAGAGAAGTGAGGGAGGGAGAAAGAACACTGAGTTGCTGACGGGTTTCACATACATGTGGGTTCTGCACACACAAAAGTGATTCATGGGATTAGTACAGAATTTCCAACAGTTTCTAAAATGGCCCTAAATAAACATTTGCCATTTTGAGCTATGTATTTATTCAAGGCAGTATCCTCAGCACAGCTCATAAAATCAAAATATCAGTCAACTAAAAAATAATGAAGATGTTCTACAGCCTGCAGGGTTGACTATTGAGCCAAGATTTCATTCTTTGTGCAAAATCAAATGAGCATATCTCTTAAGCATGCAAATTTGATTTTGTTTTTAATAGCGAGTAAAGTCCCATGTGTGGCCAGGCAGTGGGGGCACATGTCTTTCATCCCAGCACTCAAGGAGGCAGGAACAGGTGGATCCCTGAATTCAAGGCCAGTCTGGTCTACATAGCTAGTTCCACAACAGCCGGGGCTACACAGAGAAGCCGTCTCAAAAAAAAAAAAAAAAATTCTGTGTGTCATAAATTGTTTTACATTTCTGTGATTCATTGTCAGTAAATGATTTGTGCACATATGTTATGTACTTGTGCACCCCGGGTGGTGTACATATTTCTCCAACATCAAATGATCACAAGTGGAGAAGGTTTGAGAACTGTTGGCTAATCCAGTACACCTAAACTTTCTTCCTCTAACACCTCCAAGTGCCATGGCTTATTTGAAGAGTGGGCTGTGCATCACCTGGCATCCAGCCTGCTGTTTCCCTGCCCAGCTCTCTTTATGTGCCTGATACCCAGTGTCCCCTCTGCCAGCGAAACTCTCCCCCACCACTGGTGCAGCTGAGGACAGGCCCGGGACCAAGCCGACGCTCTTTCCCAGCACTCTGCATCTGGAACAATGTGGAGGGCAGCATCCTCAAGGCTGCCAAGAGCATGCTTACCGCTGCCTGGCTCTGACGCTGCCCTGCCTAGCCACCAGCAACAGTTTCCTCTTGGTCTGTGTGGCAGGTGCCCGCCCCTCCCCTGAGCTCTCTTTGTGCTCACTAAGCTGGAGTTGGCCTCTGTTGTTGGCAACTGAACTGCTGACTCATTCCTACCTGTCAGGAGGAGTGAAGAAAAGGGTTGCAAGGAGTTCTCTACAAACAATATGAACTCAGAGGGTGTGGGGCAATGAGCTGATGGTGAAAATGCCCTGTGGGGCAAGGCCAGAACAGGGTTGTTGGGAGTAGCAAAATATGATGATGGGGTCTAATCTCTGGGCACCTTACTGCTTGAAGCTCTTTTTCTCCTACAGGCTTTTTGTTTTGTTTTGTTTTTTTCTGAAGCAAGCCTGAATCTTCATTACTACCCAGGCGAAGCTGTTTCAACTGTCACAGGCCATTGCTTTTCCCACACGTTATCACTTCATTACAGGTATTGCCGAAAGGGACCCGGGGAAGCCAGATTGTGATAACTGTTTGGCTTCACCTCCTTAAAGCAAGCTTGGAGTGAATTAACTTTTTAAATAACCTCACTCTGGTGTCTAAGGAGCAGACTTGAGCCACTGTCTCTGTAAAGTATATTAAAAAGCTA